GTAAAACACGATATTTCCCTCGCGCATGGACTGACAGTGCCGGCGCTGGAGGCGAGAAGCTGGGTGATATTCAGCCCCTTTCTTCTGACATAGTTTTGCACTCTGTCCCAGTCGACTTCTCGACCTCGGATCATGTACGTTGTTGATCGCTTCCCGACTCTGTCACGCTCGTTTCGGACACGGAATAGCTCTACCACTTCGCACTCCTTAAAGTTCTTGTCGAGACCCCAGGATTTTATACGTGTCTTGTACATTCGTTGTCTGTAAGATCAGTGGTTCTGGCTTGTCAGAGTTGGCGATTCCGAACAGCGAGGATCGAAACGAAAAAGAAAAGGAGGGCTCGTACGTTGCTCGGAAGCCATGCTCCTCCTCCATGACCTTCATGACATCCTTGAGCGGTAGGTTCTGCGTCTGGTATAGGTCCTGTATCGTCGTCCTCCACGGGTCCCATTCATCCCCTCCAACCCAGCTAACAGACTGGCGTCTTCCTTGATCCGCAACAGACTTGGACATGGCCATATTGGTATTGTTGTTGATGATGATGATAATATTCTATGTTCCCGCTGAGCTGGAAGTGACATGTTCCTGTGTCCCAGTCGTCGAACCATTCTCCCTCGAGGAGGTAAAGCCTTATGGGAGGAAGGATGAGGGGTAGGTCCCCAGAGGTAGGGCGTCCACACAAGGCAGCATCCAGTTTGTCGAGGAATTTCCACAGGTCTGCTGCGCCACAGCCTTGGACTATTGGCTCCAGAAAGAGGTCGACAACAACACGTCTGAAGGCAACTATTTCTCGATGAGGGGCTGCTTGCCGCTAAATGTACGTGACGAAATGTTGGTCCCGCTGCCGGGTCACTGATATTGGGGGCCTGGAGCCGGGCGCCAAGTCAGGTTGGTAACCTAGATACCTAGGAGGGAAGAGTAAACGACAGTCTGCGATCGGTGATGGCATCTGGAAGAAGCCGATCTCCTTCTTTTGTCACTGTTACTCACAGTGGCTGATGCAAAAGGGGTGACGAATCTGCTGCAGTCACGAAACACGTAGAGAGACCCGCAGCAACCACTCGAGAAGAAGGCAGGTAGGTACCTTGGTCTCTCTATTTTAATGATCCTCCAAAAAAAAAAAAACCGTTGTTGAAAAGTAACGGACCGGCACGGACCTTCGGACTTAAAAGTGCGAATCGGAACCTCAGCGGCCTTGTCCAGAGTTTGGTAGCAGTCCGATCTGCGATGTCAATCTTCTCTTGGGGGGGGGAGGGGGCGGTACAAAGGTTTCTATTCCTTTTTGGCTGCTTTAGGCAGCTCCCGCTATCAACTTACAAGGGAGATGGGATGACACACATGTACACGACATTCTTCCAACAGCCGTTCGTGCCGTTGTCTTACATGCCTTTGCCATCCCTGCTTCCCATGTCTTTGCCGGGGCCCTAACTTTCCAGCTCACCTCTGGGGTAATGTGTCATGGATGGAATCTTCCCATCTTGGGAAATGTCGCCTCTGTAGGGTCTCGTGTCTGCCATCCAGGGCTCGAAATCCATCAGTGCTAAGGAACTTTCTCACATCTCCAACAGATCCCACCGGCACCTTCTCCGAGAAATTCTGACTAGGGTAGCACCCAACACAGCCACAATCAACGATTGGGTAGCAGCAACGTCCGCAAAAGGCCCGCACATCAGCTTACGGCATGAACAAGGGTTGAGTGTGAGAAAAAGAAAAGAGAGAACAGATTTCCCACGACAGCATCTGTGTTGTCACGTTGCAAAACTCTCCGATGGACAGTTTCCAGAAGGAATCGCTTCAACCCCCAAATCTATCAAAAGGAGTTACCGCGCGGGCGACAAAAGGACAATGCAGTCAGTGTTCAACAACCCTCATTCAGTATCATTCCTGTTTTTCGATTAAATGCGAGATTCCCCCAAACCCAGACATTTTATCCCAGAGCAAAAAGGTACAAAGGACACGGAGCAATATACCCTCCGACACCCCCCCCCCCTCAGCTGCACCTACTGGTACTTAGCATGCGGCTCTGCCCTCCCGCTATTTATCCCACTTTTCCCTAACCGGGGTGAGGGGAGAGGGGAAAGGGGAAGGGGGTTTAACAACACTCCACATCAAACAGGCAGCTAACTAAGGTACATGCTGCACTATTCCTGATATCGACTCGGGCTCGGATTTCAGGCATGCGAGGGCAAAACCTCGGCTAAGTACGAGCAGGCAGTGTCTTGATGGGGCTACTCCGACACTCTTGGTCAAGGTACATATCTCATGTATTGGCAGCTGGTTTTTGGTGATAGTTGCTAGGTAGTCGGTCGATATCCCTTGTCATGTCAACGCATTCGAGAAAGGTGTACTGTACCTAATAGATCAAGCCCGTCCATCAAGTGTGTGTGGGGGCCAGAACACAACAACACGCATTTTACCAATCAACCAACTAACAAGAACAAAATACAACCCAGCACCAACAGCCCGCACGGACAAAGTGGAACATTTGGTTATTAGTCCCCCCCCCCAAAAAAACTATTAACCTTGAGAAACAAAAAAACTCGGGTGTACAACATTTTCGAAAAGGACCCGGAGAACAAAAAGATCCCGACGGGGCCACAGCAGCCAGGTACTTATGCATATGTACTCGGCGGCTCAGTTGAGGCAGGGTAGGTTTTGTGGGGCATCACCTCCCCCCTCATCCCGGTTCAGTATCAAAAAGAGCAACAAATCAAGATCTGGACATTATATTTCCAACTGCCGCTCCTGCATTTGCATGAGCCACTCAATCGTGATGATGAAGCTTTTCCCAAGACGAGTCCTTGTGTTGCCGATGATCAACAACGGTGAGTGGAAAAGGATATGCGGTGAGTTCGGAAGGATCACCGAGATTTTGCCTTTTGACGATTGACAGCAAAAAGGCAAGGTACTCTGCTAGGTGCTTGGCTAGGGGCTGGCCTGTTCGGACTGTGGTTGCACCCGCTAACGGGGGTGACAGTTGGACGCTTCGAAAGACGTGAGTGAGATTTTAGAGACCAATGCAACAATTTAGTATTTCTTGCAGTCACGAGCCTCACACTCTGTTCTCCCTCCTGCTTTTTTCCCTGTGTAGTGGCAGCTACTGTGTCCTGCAGTATGGCATGTTTGTCAGAGGTTGTGTACTACCATCCACTCAGAATCGTGGTGTACTGGCACGATGATACATACCTACCCCGGACCGCACACTCAACCCACAGTGATGACCAAGATCGGTTTGGTGGTGGTGGTGGTGGTGGTGGTGGTGGTGAAGAAGAGTGGATCGATTGTGATGAATGCGGATACACAACATAGTCACCCGGGGTGGCGTTTAGATCAAGGTACTGTACATACATACCTCAACCACCCAGCAAACCTATCCCAGACGGCAAGTTCCGGACCAATATCTCGGTCCTTTCTCGCTGCCACTGGCCCATTGACCAATCCCCAGACCAAGATCAGATGAGGCCGGCCACGCGTACGTTTGATGCATGAGCGGCAGCGGGGCCTGGTTGGACGAGAGCATGCGGGATATCATGCCGCGTGCTTCTTGCGATGTCTCCTTGGTCGTAAGTCGGGCGTAGATAGGGTTGCAATCTTTGGTCAGGTGTGACCTGCTTCACAACACGCCCGTTTGTGCTGAATCGCAAGGGGGCTATGGTTGCTGAAATCAAAATGAGGGCGAAGCTTGATAACGACGTCATGTCATCTATTCAGAGCGTCGTTTGAACCAAGTTCTCGAGCATGGAACCAAGAATTTGGGCAGGCTGACATGTCATGTCACAGCCATGTACATCGACATCGTCATGTCTTCATACGGCGCGCACCCGGTCTTTCCAACGGCCTGGTGAGAGATTCAGGAACAGGTGCGGGAGGCGGAGATCCTTCCACCTTCCCGCTCTACACAACGTCATGCCTGCCCGTTGTAGAACCCCATACAGACACACCCCCAGACAAAAAGAGCGGAGTAGCCGGTTGTGGCATCTTTGGTTGAGACGGGCGTTTGTTCATGACAGCCTCACTTTGGCTTTGCTTTGCCGCTCGAGCCGCTGCCATTACCGCCGATGACCGCTGGGGGCAAGTCTCCAAAAGTGAGACTACAAAGAGCGCTCTCCGTCATCTCAAGCGACAGCGAGGAGTAACATCAAGCCTGATGTGACCACGTTGGGAAGCCACAATATCCGTAATGTAGGTCGCAATGAAAAGGTAACATCTCTTGATGTACATGGCCGAGATAGGCGAACATTCTTGTGGCTTGCCTTTCACCTTTCACAAACATCGGTTGTTTTGCAGTACGCCATTGGCGAAGCCAAGACAGTAGACTCCATCGACGACAAACCATCTGTATACCTCGTGATGAAAACACACGATCAAGTATGTTGCTATGCCTCATGGTCTCACTCACTGTATGAGCATCAAGGCACATAGCAGTAGCCTCCATCAAAGGTTTGACGTGCCGCCCTCGCCGGTTCCCTCCCCAACAAAGATGCATAAAGACATCCGCGATGTCCGTGTTGAGCTTGGGGGATTCAGACATGAATGATTCTCTCCGCCGCCCTTTCCACCGTCCTGCGTCATCGCGAACTTCTACGAGAATGAAGCCAAAGTTTGCATTCCAAGATTTGTTGTGTGAGATGTCGGAGACGGACCAAATCGTAGTTGACGAGTGTACAGACAGCACGACTAGTGATGACGCCAGACATCCGTGATGTCCGTGTGAATTATCTGACAAAATCAAACAGGTTATACCCGTCTCATCGCCCACTTGATTGCGTCTCCAGAGTCGCAATCATGGTCGAATTCACCGCTGTCGCAGACGAAGATAAACTTCATGTTGGAGTGTTGAGGCCGATGGGAGTTGGGGAGGTGAAGTCGGAGACGGAGTGATTTTTCGCTGACTCCGGGTCCGCCCCTACTATATGTGCGCCATAGCCGCCGCCACAGTTGCACGGCCGTTATGAAGCCGTCGTCGCCGCTCAAATGTCTCATCGAAACAAGTGAAACAAAGCTGTTCGTGTCGTTGTGCCTCATCTAGCGTCTACTTGCTCTGCTAGTTGGATCTCAGATGTGTTGCCATGCGTACGCGTCCCATTACAACAGCCAAGCGAATAGTTGATCTCCCTTGACTCATCAGCGAGGAGCTGAACTCGCTTCGATCCTTCTCATGGATTTGATGAAGTGGTGCAGCATGAAAACAGATTGCATCCGCAACGTCACTGAGGTCTGGATGTCGTCCAATGCAGCATAACTTGAGAGCCGTTGAGCAGACTGACATGAGCGAAAGAGAACCCTGGGGCAGTCAGTATATCGCCATGATCATTGCGGGTGATGTTCTTACCTGATAGGAGCTACCCTTCCAGATCATGATCTAGCAACAAACGATGCGCCCAACACTTCACGAAGTAGAAAAAGCAAAAAGGCCAAGCAGTTGTCAAGCCACGCTGCGTTCATCCATAACCGTGATACACGCCCAACAGTTCAACATGCAATGTGTGAATCCAATGCTCCCTGGCCTCATTCGTACAGAAGTGCCGCGGCACCATGCTGATCATACATGCTCCGCCAAGAACTCAGGGGGGACCTCATTCTCGCTCAAAGTACTCTCTCTGCTGCACGTACGATCCAATTCGTTCCTGGCGCCAGCAGTCGACGAAGACACCAGCAAGTCAGGAGGCACCTCATTGTCACTCTCTTCAGTTCTGTGCCCATCCTCGACATCGTGCACGCCAACGAGGTTCTTTCCCTCGGCTGATTCAGATGATGATGACGACGACGACTTGAAGCGGATGGCGGAGCGTTGTAACCCTGAGCTACCAGACATTGACCGCCCAAGATGCGGTGTCGAGCCCCCGTCTCCGTCCACATCCCTCTCGTCGTCCGAACCGTCCTGTACTTCCAAGCCGCCGGCTCGTAATCCCTTCACCAAGAGTCCTTTTGCGAGCTTGAGTGCCTCCACCTCGGCACCAATGGCACAGATCAAGAGATTCCACCCATTCTCCTCCACCAACCGGAGCTTCCCCTCCATATCAGCAATGACACCCTTCATGTCACCAAGCACGTCCGACATGGCCTTGACCCACTCCCGATTCGCCTCGTCGTTATCGTGTTTGCCTGCCCAGTGTTTCATTACCGCTGCCACGCTCAACTCAAACTTGTCCACCAATTGCAACGTCTCCCTCCACACTTCCACACCCTCTTCCAAGGCTAACCGTTCCCTATCAACATCAGCTTTCCTCGCCGTGAGCAATGAAACCTCGCCCTCCCACCACTCCTTGGCCATCTCAGGCGTCCTCCTCTCCGGTCTTAGCCTCAGAAACTCCAATCCTGACAAATGCGATCCCCTATCCACTGGTTGACCAGGCCCAATCACACCCTCCAAGTCCAGTGGTTTGACACTGGGTCTCGTCAGGATCCCGCCCAGTTTCCCATCCACATCCTTCAGAGCCCCACGATAGCCACTCAGACCTGCGTCCCTCTTGCTCTCCACATCGGCCACCTTGGCATCCAGGTACCTTTTTCTGTTCCGCAAGCCAACCAGCCTCCCTTCCAACTCTTTTATCTCACTTGCCACATTACTCCGTTCTTCTGTCAGCTCCCTGATCTCCTGTGCAAGAGGCTCCTCTTCGTCTTGCTCGATCTTCTCCAACTCGCCGGTGATCTCCTCCCGTTGCCGGCATAGCTTCCGCAGCTGGGCAAGAGCACGCTTCCTCGTTGACAGAGCGGCAGTCAGATTGGCGTCCTCCTCTGCTTTTAGATCTGCCAGGAGTGTCATGTGCCTAGCAAGTCCTGTACGAGCTTCGCGTATAGATGGACGCTTCGTCTTGGGTTGTCTCACCGGTATCACGTGTCCCGTGTGTGTTGTTGTAGTCTGAGCAAAGCTTACCCGGCGTGCTGTAGACATGGAATTGGTGCTAGCGTGTAATGTGCTTGTAGGGGTGGTGGTGCCTGCATCACTGGCCTGAGGGCTTCCTGTAGACCCTGCTCTCCCAACTTGGGCTGATAGGCACGCTGACTGGACATCCAGGATATTCTGGAGCTCCTTCTGAAGCTGGCGTTCCCGGTGGTGAAGGTTGCGCCACACTGCATCCGGCTCATACTCGTTGTAGTTTACCGCATCACGCCCTCTTGTGTGGGCTGAGGAGCCGTCCTGGCGGTCGAATAGTACGCCGCCAACATTTCGAGCAGTAGATGCCGCTGTGTCGAACGGGCGGTATGACTGTGGCTCCTCCTCATCCCTATAGAGTATCCGGGACGTGGCGATGGGGGGAGGAGGACCGTGGAAGAGAACCGGGGCGTTGGGCTTGGATTTGGAAGCCGAACCAACACTACTAGCCCGATCGCTCGTGCTATGGTCGATCGATGGCGAGATTTGTCTGCGATTTCGGGAGCCCTCGGAGGGCAACAAACTGTCATCGGGTCGTGGTGACAGGTCATCCATATCGTGCTCGCTCGGCTTCTTGCGGATGGTGGGGCTTATTGGGTTGTGGAAAGGGATGCCGGGGCTTTCGGAACGAGACAATGAGAGACGGGGAAGGAACATAGATCTGGACGTCATGTTGGCGCCTTCGTGTTTGCTATCTGTGTTGACATACTAGCGGTTCAGGAGGTTAGCTTCCACCAAAAGACATCGATGGCGTTGCAGAGGGCGCTCGTGGTGGGGAGGTACCGTACCAGTATGCTTGCCCGACATTGGATGGCGCGTTGAGGTATTCAGTTGCAGATGTCTATATATATGTCGGTTGATGCTCCAAGAGTACTGAATACGTCGACGGTGTTTCCGAGAGAGCAAGGTGGAGAGTGTTTGTCTGCCCGTCCCAAGATTGGGATAATAATCGATGCCTGGATGTTTGGAGTGTCAAGTGTTCACAAGAGCTGTGGCATGTGCCTCTGCCCACTGAGACCTGCAGCTCCAGCGCGTCTGCTGATTGGCTGTGCTGGCCCAACCTGACATGTCCTTGTGCAACGTCACTGTGGGCCTGACTTCTAGCACGAACAACCCTAACCCCTCTGGCATTGTTGACCAAAACTCCCAAAACTGACATGCCATGAGCCTGCTTGTCAGGTCAGAATCTTGCTATAGGTAGGCCTCGTCAATTGTTCTACAGTTCATCTTTCTCTCCGATTGGGTTGTAATGCTTCAACGGCTCTATGTGAGCAACACAGCATGGCCACTACGCAAGGCCTTCACTTGGCGTGGATCAAGGCGACTCTCGAGGCGACCGCCTCTTCACAACCAGACGCACCATCAAAGAATCCTGATTGACACACCAACCGAAATGAACCATCGACCGCAACATACATAGCACCCATAGTGATGGCAACACATTCTCTTCGAAAGCCTTCAATCTGACAATCCGAGAGCACCAAGTAGCCCCTTATTGGCCAGCACGCCGTCTTTGCCCCACAAACACCGCCCAACAGCTTCGGCGCCTGTTAGTCTTAGTGGGCAGTGCTCGACTACTGTCATTATGGCTGCCTGAAAGCTGCGAGAGACATCTCATCGCTCTCGTAGTGAAGAGGATGACAATCGCCGCTCGTTTACACGATGACCTGGTTTTTACAGTACTCAGTTCGGCCTGAAACGATACTGACGGTACTCGCCGTGGCCATCTCCGTGGACCAACTTGTCACCATCGTAGCGACTACTGGAGCAGTCGTTCTATCTTTGTGTTTCTGGCTACATATAATTGGGCTCTCGTCGGACTTCTTCCCGACCTTGGGCCAGCATGCGCGGCTTCAACCTGACTCTTTTTCACAGGAGCACCTCTCTCAGCGCCAACTCGAGGAAGAGGACTTACAGCCAAAGGCGGTGGGCGAAGAAATGAAATCAAGGGAAGAGTTGTCTTCGACACCCGTCGGGGGAAGCTCAGTGAGTAGTTCCGACTCGAGAAGTCAGTCAGAGAGTGAAGCTTTGGAGGAGCAGGCAGTGGAGCAAGGCTACCTCGGAAAAGTCCCAGCTGAGTACAATCTACCAGAGGACGATGTCAAAGGACCAGTATGAGATCGTCCACATGCTTCCCATTATAATGCTTCTGCTGACTACCTGCGCAGTTGGAAGTGCCCATCTGGTTTTTGAATTACAACCTGAAGACAACGAGTGAGCTTGCCAACCACATGCCCAAAGTAATCATCAAGGAAGACGCGCCAGATACAGCATACGGTGAGGATGCCGTTTTTGAAATCAAATCAGCTGTGTACAACAACCTTTGGTCTGTCTTGTCAAACCCGAGCCAGACATGGGAGTCAGCAAACGAAGAGAATGTGCCCTTCTTCAGGAGGGCGACCCTTCTCCTGACCGCGATTAACACCATGTACGGGGCTCGGGGCCACCGCGCCTTCTTTGAAGCTGTCGTCGAACAGTTTGCCACTGACATTGGGGCTGATCTTATCGCACTGGACATTGAGGATGTTTTGGACTTGGGTGAGTACTGGTTAAATGGACCAGAAAGTCGGGGCTGTGTACCGGAAGGCAAAAGGGACAAGCCGCTGTTGTTCGCACATACATTGCTCGACGTTCCAGACCAGAGGATATTCAGGCACGGTACCGGTAGCGTCACGCCTGAGCGTCGACCATTGATCATACACATTCCAGATGTTCACCACTTCGACATACCCGACGATAATGACTTCCAAGGCAGCCCAAGATGGTTCGACTTCGCCGACATCAAAGAAATACTCGACGTGATACTGCTAGCCATCATCAATCAAGCGGGAGGGAACGGTGCCACCTTGCTTGTGCTTTCGAGTCGCTATTACACCACATCCCACAGAAACACTGACATTCCCCTCGTAAATGCGCTTCTTGAGGCCGAAGAGGACATAACACTGGTGCCACTGAAAACTCCAAGCCAGGTCAAACTGCTTGAAGAAGGACTTCCCAACTGCGATCGTCATCTTCGCATAAACATCCGTTCATTCCAGCGACAGATAAGGGCCACTATCGGGGACTTTACTTCGCCGCTATTGCAGCCTCACACGGCATGGGAGTTCATCAATGACTGCGAGACATCGAGGAGGTTTTGCCTCGGGCACCGGCAACATGAGGAAATCATATCAGTTGGGAAGAAAGTTGCGCTTCAAGTCGGAAGACATGGAAGCGTCACTGCCGATCATATTCGACAATCACTTATTTCAGTGGCCTCGCACGGAGAAATGCTAAAAGATTGGGACATTGTGAGTAGTGTTGATGACGTCCAGTCGCGCTGGGCTCAATTTTCGCCACATATTAGACAAAAGCTCGAGCAAGCTGAGAACGGGAATAATGACGCTGAGAAACAATTATTGGATCTTGTTGTTGATCCCGGTTCGTCACCACCGGCGTTGGGGTCCTTGACTGCTCTGAGGCTAACATCGCAACAGGGTCGGTCATGCACGGATGGTCGAATATCCAGCTCGATTTGGACACCAAGGATGCCATCGCCCAGTTGATTTACCAGGCAACAGGGACTATTTCGTCCCATATCCGGTCTGGAATCCTCGCAACTGTCAAAGTCGGCGGTGCTCTACTCTACGGCCCCCCAGGGACAGGCAAGACTCATCTAGCAAGAGTGCTGGCCCACGAGCACGAGCTGGTCATGATTTCGGTATCTTCGGCCGACATTGAGTCGAGTCGTGTGGGTGAAACAGAAAAGACCATCCAAAACCTCTTTAGTCTAGCTCGCAAACTCCATCCAAGCATCATTTTCATCGACGAAGCGGACTCCCTCCTAAAGCGCAGGGAACCACACGACCACACGTGGGAGCGTGCTCGACTGAACCAATTCCTTGCCGAAATGGATGGTCTCAAACAGGACATGAACTCGCCGTTTGTTATCCTGGCCACCAACCTTCCACAAGCACTTGATGACGCCGTTCTCCGTCGCGTTCCTGCAAGATTGTTCATGGGCTTACCGCGGGCGCGGGCGAGGCGAGAGATTATTGCAATCTGCCTCCGCGAAGACGTTGTTGCAGACGACGTGAACGTTGATGACCTTGTACGACGCACCAAGGGTTATACAGGCTCCGACCTGCATACTCTGTGTGTCCAGGCTGCTTTGATCTCAGCGGCCGAATCCCAAGCGTCGAGGTCTGTTAACAACATGACCGGGCTTAGTAGCATACAGCGAGTTCACTTTGAAAAGGCACTGAGACGATCAGCACCTACGAGCACTGGACACGCACTGGCTGCGATCCGGGAATTTGCCAAAGCAAGCGACCCACAAGCATTGGCTCAGTTTACAGCGCCTGACAATGATGAGGTAGAACAAGCATCGACATCGGCAGAGCCTTCGTTGCCGCGCCAGAAGACGGGAATCACGACCGGTACATTGACACCTCCGGATCAAAGTATTGACAACGTAGGAGATTCGGGGTCTGTGACAGAGGGTGAAGCCGCTTCTGACTTTGCATCGCCTGAGTTCGGAGTCCCAGAAGCTCCAACATCGCATAAAACAACCTCTGCCTTGGGGCCGCTTTACACACCCCTGAAAAGCAACAGCCGACAAATCAGAGTGCTATCCATCACGCCACAGTCACCCAAAACTGAGGACAGTTGGATAGAGTGCAGGCTTGAGACGGTCGACCTCGATGACATGGAGGTGTGGTACCACGAGCTGCGGACCATACTCCAAGCAAACGATGGCGAGTTCCCATTTGATGTGACCAAAACACCTCCGGCATGGATTCTAGCGACAGCTGCAAACGAGCTGGCCAAGGAACAACCAAAAGACACTGAGATGCACTGGGCATATGTTTTGGAAAAGTTCAACTCGATCCCTGAGCTGAAGACGTTGAAATCAGACGTACCATTCGAAAGGTTGACAAGATGGAAGGAGTTCGCTCCGAGATATGAATGGGGGGACTACATAGCTATGAGTTATACCTGGGTGAGCACTGTCATCATCGTCAGCTATGCGGTATTCACGCTGACACCTTTATCTCAGGGACCTCCCGAACCTTCTCACACCATCTTGGTGAATAATCACGAGGTACAAGTTGGTGGCAACCTTTACCAGATGCTCTTGAGGCTCAGTAAGTCAGTAGAGGTCAAACAGTCACATCTCAAGGTCTGGATTGATGCCCTCTGCATCAACCAAAATGACGACAAAGAAAAGGAGACCGAGGTGCAAAAGATGGATGTGATATACAGCATGGCTCTGGCAGTTCGAGGGTGGATAGGTACCCCGTCCTCGGCAACACCAGGGTCCCGTTTTGACACCGCTTACACATTGGTGCGACAGTGGTTCAGTCAGCATCAGGGAATCCCCAAGTCTTACATTTCCGACCCCACACTATACCCTCAGTCACTACTTCGGTCGTTGCGAACTGTGGCCTTTGAGCTCATCAGACTGCCGTACTGGAGTCGCACTTGGATCACACAGGAGATTGCGCTCGCTAATTCTGTTTGTTTTTGGTACGGTGATGACTACCTCTTTGTACCCGGAGAGATAAAGCGAGCGCTCGAACCGTTTGTCGACTTTAGCTCGGCACTCAATCAGCCATCAGACTTGCACTTTATGTGGGATGACGGTGAGCTTGACTCCAGCTCTGATCTCCCCTCGATCCAGGAACAACGGATGTTGTCTCAGCACGTCCATCGAATCTTTGTCAAGTTTGACCTTCGGGAGCTCCCCAGGGTTAATAACACCGGACTTCTCATCACGATTTTGACTTTGGCCCAAGCATCCGCCGCCACCGATTTGCGCGACAAAGTCTATGGGACACTGGCCCTGCTCCCCCTCTCCATCAGAGACAGTGTCAAACCCAGCTATGCAGAGTTTTATGCGGCACTCGATGCTTACGCAGACTTTGCTAAAGCCTGTATCCTCGGCCTGGGCGATCTATCAATATGGACCTACCTAACCCGGTTACAGCCCCGTCCAGGGGGTAGCTCTCTACCGAGCTGGGCCATCGATCTCAGTAGTGAGGCGGACGATGCTTTGGTTCAAGAACGTACGACCCCACCATCACGTCCTGGTTCCCGCTTCAACGCCAACGCGGGAAAACAACAATGTCCTGCCTTTTCTCACGACGGACGCATCATGTATTGCGAGGGACTGATCATCGACTCCATTGACACGTTGACGATGTCGCCCTCGCGCGCAAGGGAAATCACATTACAGGATTCGTATTTCAACCCGTTGTCTTCAGTGACCAACCCCCCCGCTGCCCCGTCGAACATGCCCAACGAAGATGCCAGGACGGCTTTAGCACGCGTGCTGCACGCAGAACCCGAGTATGACATATCCAATCCAAGCTGTCTCCTCAATCTGGCCTGGGGTCTAAAGGAAGATCGTCCGCCAGACGGGCTCAACTGGCAAAGACTGGAAGCCAACATCAAGGACGCTTCTGAACTAGCTCACGCCCACATGTCCTTGTTGTGGTGGCGCGCCCTTCTCCATGCCAACTTCGACTTTATGATCAAAGGGTGCCCACTGCACAGCTACTTTTCTTCAGGTGCGGCACAAGAGTTCCAACCACACGAGTACACGTACCAGGATCTATCTCAGACATCTTATCGAAGACTTTGCATGACTTCAAATGGTCGGGTTGGGATGGTGCCAGGTCTGGCCCAAGCCGGCGACAAGATTGTCGTTCTCTTTGCTTGCCAAAAGCCGGTGGTGGTTCGCCCCAAGGGGAAGCATTACGAGTTCATCGGCACCTGTTTTGTGGACGGGCTCATGAGGGGGGAGGCCGTGGCTGATATGGAAAGCGGGGGCAAGCTCAATCCTGAGATGATTTCTTTTTGTTAGGTACCACTTCTTCCTAGTAAACTTGTTACAAAATCCCCCCCTCGCTCCACCCCTCCCAATCCTGCTCCCAGTCAACATCCACCATCTCCTCATCAGCATCAATTGCCAACCTCGCCATCAGATCCCCCAGCTCCTCGGCCAACTGCTCGTCAAAATCAACATAAACATCCATATCCTCCACCCCATACCTCGCACTAAACTCATCCAGAATACTTCTCCCCTGTTCGGTTCTCTGGTCAGCCAAAATATCAACATGCACCGCCCCTTCAATCCCGCCAAAATACTCCTTTCGCGTCTGCCCATCTTCATTCTCCTCCAACCAAGCGGTAAACTCGTCCACCACCCTTACAAGCTCGCTTCTCCCCCTCGCGGAGTTCATCCACCCTATTTTGACCCCGTGCTCCCTGTCCCATAATCTAGCTTCAACAGTCATCAACACCAAACCATGAAGGACCTCCCCGGTGACACGTCCAAACCACGCCTCGGGTTGGTGTGCGATAACCTCCTCCCAGAATAAACTCTGATCTTCCAGGCTGCGCATTTTCTATTGGTCATCAGCATCGTTCTGTTTCCAGTCTGGTTTGATCTCACCATCCCCTTCCCTTTCAAAACCCCCAACCCAGCCTCGAAAACAGAGACCAATCCCCTCTCTACCACTTTTTTGTCCAGCTCGTTGGCCCCCGCGCCGAATGCGTGCAGGAGAGCCCTTCTTTCACGTCCCTCCAGGCCGGCTAACCTCCTTTCTAGCTTTCGGCTGTGCCGGTTTCGGGTTTCGCGCACCGGCCAGGAGAAGCCGATTTTGGGGAGCAGTTTTCGAAGGGATGCTGGTGGGCGTTTGACCTTTTCTGCTGACAAGGCCTTACTGGTCTGTACCGGCGGGGTGGATGGCTGAGCAGCGGCACGACGAGGTGGTGATATGGGAGGGGAAGGGGGGGGGAGGCTCATCGCTGAGCAACGCCTAGCAAGTGGCATCCTTTCCGACGGCGGCAACCCTTTTTTTCGGCTTTGACAGAGAGAATAAAGCTGGGAAGATGTCGTTTTCCTATTCCTTAGACACCGCCTCTGTCTCGGCAAGCTCGATCTGGAGGTTGCTGTCGGCAAACAGCCAAGTCTCCTCCTCTTTCTCGGGCGGGGGTTCACAGGCCTGCCATCATCTTCCCCATTCCCACCACCACCACCACCACCACCACCACCTCGACCACCTCGACCATCATCATCATCATCATCATCATCATCATCATCATCATTATCATCATTATCATCATCATCACGGTGTCGAGGTTCTGAAAACCGGCCGAGCGGAACAGCAACTTCCTGAGCCATACCTACCTGAGTTAAGCTTGAATTGGACGACGAGCAGAGGGGAGACACAAAATAGTCGATCCGGTGGTCCAGGTAGGAGCAGGCAGCTGAAACAGGTAGCAAACAGGACGAACAACCAAAAAGTCTCTCCACGACAATACTCAACTCCCGAGAGACGACAGCTACATATATACCCAACCCAACCAAACATGTCTCACATTCAACAATGCCAACCCCCCCAGAAAGAAAGGCCTTGGTACCCATCAGCAACAAAGCATTGGTTTTGCCTGTACTGATGGAAGGCTTCAGTGGGCACCAGATACTGCTAGACCTCAACAATGGTTCATTCAGCCCACAACTGCCTTGTACAAAATCTGCGAAACGATACAGCCCAACTCACACAGAGCCTTTACCCCTCCTTGCATGTTCTGCCACAATGTAGCACTACCTGCCTAGTCATTGACCAAAAAAAGGTCAAAAGGAAACTCAGTTTCTGAATCTTCAAACATTGTCACTCAGCCACTGCACTGCGCCAGCCGCGAATCGAACGCGGGGCCCATCGATGGCAACGATGGATTTTACCACTAAACCACTGGCGCTATGAGGGATTTGATGTGCTTGTTGGCATGGAAGAGACCTTCATCACGTCTTCGCGGGTGTGGGGGGTACAAGGGCCGGAGTCCGGGATAGCCTCGCCCTGAAATGGAATATCACGCATGGTCATCCCGGACGTCCGTCTCAGCAGGTACATAACTCACGGAACCGAGAAATACAGCAGCATCAACTGAGGTCATGAATCTATTGGAGCCCAACCAGGCCCTTTTGGCAGAAAAAAACTACAAACTGGGTGCAAAAACTACATGCCGTCCCTTCATTATACGCCGTCCCAAAACCCGTCTACTCCAGCTGGCCAATGCCGAGGTGGTCCACATCGGCCTTAACGATACGCAGAGTGTTTGTGTTGCCCATGCCGCCCTTCCAGCCCTGGACAACCACCACCGTCTCACCCTCGTTGAGAACACCCAAGTCGATAGCGTGGGTAAGACCCCACTTGATGCGGCGATCCACATCCTCCTGCCAGTTGACTTTGCTAAAGTCGGGCTTGGCCTCTGGGAAGGAGAATGGGTATACGCCGCGGTACAAGTGGGCATATCTCGAGGCCGACGCGTTCCGAGTGATCATGATGATGGGGCAAACAGGGCGGTACTTGGAGATGAGGCGGGCAGAGACCCCCGAGGTGGAGAGAACGAAGATGGCCGAGGCGTTGAGGTCGAGAGACGTCCGGACAGCCGCCATGGCGCAAGACTCGACAATGGAGACGGGGCGCTTGACAAGGGCGCACAGCTCCTCGAAGTGGCTGACATATGGGATGGTGTTCTCGGCCTTGAGGCAGGCCTCGCTCATCTCACGCACAGCCTCGTTGGGGTAGCTACCCTTGGCTGTCTCACCGGAAAGCTAGGCGATGTTAGTGCCTGGGTGCAAACAAGACATCTTTGCTGCAAACATACCATGACACAGTCGGCGCCGTCAGTAACTGCGTTGCCAACATCACTGATCTCGGCTCTGGTTGGCCTGGGGTTCTTGATCATGGACTCGAGCATCTGAGTGGCGCAAATGACGGGCTTGCCAGCAATGTTGCACATGGCAATGATCTTCTTCTGAGCGGCGAACACCTCGGCGGCGGGAATCTCGATACCGAGATCGCCACGGGCAACCATGACACCGTCGGTCTCCTCGAGAATCTCGGCAAAGTTGTTGAGACCTTGTCTGTTCTCAATCTTGGCAATGATCTGAATGTGCTTGCCCTCCTCGCCGAGGACCTCACGAATGTCCTTGATGTCTTGCCCTCTGCGGATGAAAGCTGTGGCAAATCAAAAAATTAGCACATGTCGTTACAGCCAGCCATGGGCGTACATACAAGCAAAGACCATGTCGACATTGTTCTTGACGCCGAACAGGAGATCGGCCTTGTCCTTCTCGGAGAGGGCGGGCAGATCGACATCGGTGTTGGGCAGGTTGACACCCTTGCGGGAAGAGATGAAACCATTGTTGCGCGCCTGAACCTTGATGGTCTTGTCGTCGACAATCTCGAGCACATCGAACGCCAAGACACCGTCGTCGACGTAAATAATTCGGCCTGGGGAGATGACCTTGGTGATGTTCTTGTAGTCGACGTACCTGGTGCAGTGTCAGTTTAGGAGGTTCGTGGGGGGTGAATCGGGGGAGCTTACATGTTCTCGGTGGTGCAGGCCGTGGCATACTTCTCATCGGTGGTGATGTTCAAGATGGCGCCGGCGGAGATGGGGAGATCGGCATCGTTGACGGTGTTGCCGGTACGGATCTCGGGGCCCTTGGTGTCGAGGGCGATGGCGACCTGACGGCCCTTCTGGGCCTTCTCGGCAGCGCGAGCATTGTCAATGACAGACTCTGCAGTCACAGACTGTTAGCACCGACGATCAAAGGAAGACAAGACTTGTGCCAAGCATCCGTGGATGGCCAGGCGGTGGTGTCTGCGGGTCGCCCAGGTGGAACCAGGGAAAGCTGGACCTGAGCGGACCTCGCGACCTCTCCACCAAAGCGCATCATCGAGGCATGGATAGCGCAGGGAACATACGGTGGTACTCGTAGCTGCCGTGGGAGAAGTTCATGCGCACCACGTTGAGGCCAGCCTCGCGGAGCTTGTTGATGGCCTCAACAGAGTTCGTCTTGGGGCCAATGGTGCAGATGATGGAGGTGCGGCGGAAGTTGCGGGCAGGCTGGAACGCGGTATCGAGCTGCGAGAGCCATTCGATCTTGCCCCCCAAGTTGAGGTGGTCGAGAGCTGTGTTGACCATGTTGAAGGACTGTAGGGGAATTCTGAGCGAGACTCGGAACCCGGAAGGAGGAGATAGAGGTCGGACTGCTAAAGATTCCTGGAGATGAGGTCTTGTCAGCGGGACGGGTTCGAAATCCAACGATGGAATTGCTGAGATGTTTGCTGAGGCGGAAACAAGAACACAAAATCGAGTTCCGGCCGGAAGTCGAGCATAAGAAGGCAACCCCTCGCCCAGCCAGGGTCCCGTCGGACTGCAGCGATAACGGAACACCGGATGCGCTGACGCCGCAACCCCCGGCCAGCCAACGAGAGACAGAAGAGACAGACGAGACAGAAGAGACAGAAGACAGAAGAGACAGACGAGACAAACTCACCTCTTAACAATGCGATGTTCAAGAGTGGTCGAGCAGGTGAAGAGAGGAAGGGAGAACGAGAGGGATGGATGGATGGGAAAGTCGAGGAAAAGTTGAGGGAATTGGGTTTGTATCTAGTTCTGGAAGTTCTGCGCGAAAAAAAGAAAAAAAAACAGATGCGGTTCAACCAAAGCCCAGCCAAACTGGACTTGCCTGCCTTCGGGCATGGAGGGGAAGCTTCCCCCCCAAAAGCTCTTCCCAACAATCATCCCACTCAGCTCTTGCCAAAGCCCCACGCACCCCTCCCCTCCCTGGACAGTGAATGGGTGGATGGGGTCTTGACGTGGGCGGTTAGGTTAGGTTCGTCTCCCCTTGCCATTGAGGTGGCCTTGTCAAACCTGGAACCCATCGCGGTGGCTTGCATCGGCCATGCATGATGAAGATACGAAGCCCCGATATCCAGCTCCCGTAGTAGATTGACTTGACCCCTATTTATATGCATGTAGCATCTCTGTGTCCATCACATCGTTCGTCCATGGCATCGCTGCCGTGAGTGTTCCTGCCAAGGCCCCTCACCAGATGAAGACCCAAAAAGAACGCGGGGGTTCTCATCAGATTACCCCACCTTTCTGACGGGCGGTGAGAGGGCCATTGGTGGCGGGGGTGGTGTTCTGTCGTTTGGGTGACACAGAGAATGTCAACCAATCGCTGACAACTCTGACGGCATGCGGGGCAGAGTGAGGGAAAAGCGGGACAATTCCAAAGGGGTTTGGCCTGCTTTGCTCGTGACTCCGCACGTGCATCCTTCCTGGCTGAGCTGCCCTGCTGAGGTAAGGCAGCCTTGAAGTGGTCCAAGCTCTCGAATCGGCGGCTGCGCACGGGGCACACGGTGGCTGGAAGAGGAGCTGAGTCTTGCTGGTGTCTGTCGTTGTCGCTTGCTTCTGATCGCCCGACCGACCCCCCGCTAAAGATTCCATACCGACATCACCAGAACCGCATCACCATCGCTATCCTCCCCACATTCCTGTCGAGACTGCCCTGCGCCGCCGATATCTGTCCAACTCTCGTCCGTTGCGAAAATAAATTTGTTCTCGGTCGACTCGATTCACCATGGTCGTAAGTATTCGCCCCCTTCGAGTGTCATCACCGCCTCTTTCTGCTCGGCGGTCTCTGTGTCGCTTTCCGAGTCTAAGAACCATGCCGTCTTCCAGCTCCTCGACTTACTGACATTCGGCCTCTGGTCAAAGCTGGCAAGGTTGACTCATTATGCCTTTGATGCTGTGCTCGGTGAGTCGCTGCCCACACCTCTCGCCTGCACCGCCTTTGCTTGGGCTCTCTGTCGGCTAACCCAACATACCTAGTTTCCACCATCCTTGCGGGGATGAAGCGCTCGACCGGCCTGACGTGAGTCGATTAACGAGAACATGGAAAGAACCGAATAAAAGTGCTGATGGTTCGGAATTCGCAGTTTCCAAGCCGATCAGATTGGTGATTCGGACCAGGACCCCTTCAGGAAGTTCATGAACCGCTACCTAGGTGTCGGCGAGTGGGTGATGGATCAGTCGGTTGCCATCGCAGGCTCGAGCAAGTGGTTCAAGAGAACCCGGTAAAGCGCCTCCATGCTTTCATGACGAAACGATCGAAACCGGATGGCGGGGAAACAGGCGGTCGAGGCGAGGGGAGCATATGGACGCCAGCCTCCCTATGGCTCAACTGGTTTGGGGCTGGCGGAGGAGATCATGATCATGATCATGTTCATGTTATGACCGGGCCGGGTACATGCGGGCGGTTTTCGGGGTGCTTTTCTCGAGTCGCGCGGTCTTTTTTTGTTGGCGGCGTTCAGGGACTCTCCTTGACAAAGAGGGGGATGCATTTTCTCCTCTTGGGATTTGAATATCGGATTTGGTCCTAGGATTTTTGCGCAATACCATTGGAATTTTCCCATCTCTGTGTCCTGGTGATGCAGGAGGCTCCTGGGGTGTGTTTCTGTCCGTCTCCCGTTCTGTTCCGATGCCCCATCCGGGGTAGCATTAGCCGAGGCAATCCATAGCAGGTCTAGTTCTGCCAGCTGTGCCAGCCCACGGGCCGCAAGTTCACAACACCACTCACACGACAGACACCACGACATGTTTCGAGTTACATACACATAGGGCACGGCTTGACGGTTCAATGGCTGGATTATGTTGATCTACCGCCCTTGAAACAAGGCCTTCTCTGCCGGGAAGAAGCACTCTTCGTCTGGCGGCAATACATCCTCTTCTTCCTCCTCCCCCCACTCCTCCGAGTACATTTGTTTCAGCCTCCTTCTCGCCCAATAGAGATACTCCCCCTTGTCCTCGAGATAATCAACGAAGATGTTCCAATTCTTGCTCCCCGCAGCAACGGCCTAATGACTTTGCGTTGCAACCAGTCGCAGGCTCTCTGGCTTTCCTGACATGTCGCGCTCTCCTGCAGCGCTTCCCACTCCAAGTCTGTTTCCGTCTTCTCCATCACGGGCGCGAGAGCCGTCCTCGCCTCGGGCTCGGACATGGCTTGCAGAACCATCATCTGACGCTTCAGATCCTCGAGTTCTTCTTCGTCCAACTCCATCGGATCAAACGGCTTGCTCAGCCTGTCTCTGGCGTAGCGGTGGAGAAACTGGAGGAGGCTGATCACCTCGGACAGGTAGCGGAGTCTGTCGTCCGCGTCGCTGAGCATGTTGGTGAGATCACGCAGGGTTTTTCGCATGTTCCTGAGCCTGCTTTCGAGGTAGAGGAAGGGTGGGCGGCCGTGGCGGTTTTGGGGTTTTAATTGGGCTTCGATCGTGCTGGGGAGGGTTGGGTATGTGGTGAGGGGGGGCTGGCTGATGCGCAACCTGTCGTCGGTCAGGACGGGCAGGAACTTTGGGGCGGAAGTGTCGGAGTGGGCGATGAGGCGGTAGATTGTTTTGATTCAGGTGCCGGTTATGCCGGGTTTTGATGCTACGTCGTAGGAGCCGGGTTGACGGCCGGCGATGGCGGTGGTGAGGGAGATGAGGCGGAGGATGGAGTGGCCGACGCGGCCGGACTGGCTGGTGTTGTGGTTCTGCTTGGTGTTGTTCTCCTGCGTGTTGTTCTCCTGTGTGTTGTTCCCCTCAGTGTTGTTCTCGCCCATGCTGTTCTCGCCCACGTTATTCTTCTTCATCTTTCGAAATGATTTGAAAGAGGCTCGCCAGTCATGGGTGATCAGGTCCATCCTTTCATATTCTTTTCCTGCCGGAAGAAGCTTGTCGAGGAAGCTTTCCACCTTGCTGGTCGTGTCATAGGAAACCAGAAATGACAGGTCGCTTTTCATTGCGGGCGGTTTGTTGGGTGCCATTGGTCTGAGTTGAGGCTGGTGTAAGTATTGGACCTGTGGTCTGAGTTGAGAGTGGACCAAGTTGGCACTGGACTGACCCAGTTGAGAGCAAACTGAGTTGAGACCTGTGGTCTGAGTTGACACCTCGAGAATGGTATGGGTTGAGAGTATGGAGGAATGCAAGTGGTTGCATAGATCGGGGGGAACCCGACGAGAGTATATATAGTCGTTTTTAAATACTTTACCAAAGTTTTTCGCGCGACCGCTCTGTTTAAAACTCTAACAGCGAGGCGTTGGCATAGACTGACAGGCTGCAACTCAGACGGTGAGGTGGTTTAGGTTAGGTTTGGCAGCTCACAACACCACCGGAATAGAACCTGAACTGGCTGAATCGATCGCAACAGAGACCATCTCCTTTGATTGTCGGAAGCCCTTGACCATCTATCACTTTGCTTCTCTTCTGAGACCAATTCATCTTTACTTAATTGTAGCGAACATAATATGTCTATGAGCCCATGTTTCCTTGCGATTGTGAGCGGTAGGTGGGAGGCTCCCGTGGGGCACCAGTGTTTGCAAATTGCTTTTCGCTGTGTGGGATCCAGAAGCTCCACGATGGCTTTAAAATGACAGAGGGGATTGATTATCAAGTACACAAGAGTTCAGGGCTACCATACCCTGCGTACCAGCAGCATCGATATGCGGGTCAGGGTTGTGCATTGTAGTCATGATGAGAGCTCATTGACACAAGACTTCTTTGTTCACCCACAGACATACAATGTGCAACGTAGCCATGTCGTATCATTTTGGCCATTTTGTTTGAAAAGATAAAAATGAAATAAAAACACATTTGATACCCCCAAGAAAGCGTTCAGTCACAGTTGCCATATCACTTGCCCCGGGCAGTGATCATCTCTCGTCATCTGCAAACTGACCAATCACAAGCCGCCTTGCACACAGTGTAGGGTGCAACTCTGATAACAAATCATGTCCTTCATGGACATCATCCAGGACGACTTTTCCTCCCTCGACCTTCACGAACCACTATCGCCATCTCATTCCGGCCAACCAATCAATAACGACAGATTAGCCCGCATCATGGAAATCCGACGCCTCGAAAGCCCAGATCTCAACCCGCCCAGGTACCACGACCCATCAACACCACCCTCCTCACCACCACAGCCATCTTCCACCTCATCATCCCCCGGAACACCCGGATCACCACCCAAACTACCACCATCCCCCCCTCAATTCCCCCAATTCTCCCTCTTCCCAGGTGAACTCCAAAACCTAATCTGGGACCACGCCGCCCAGCTCCTCTCCTCCCCAACCTCGACCCCAGGAATCCACTTCCTCCTCCAACCCCCCCTCTTAAGCCCCAACACCCCCCCTCTCATCCGCCCGGCCCCCTTCCAGCTTTCTACTCCATGGCTCACCAACGACCTCGACCTCATCCCAACCAGAGACTCCTTCTGTCTCAACCTCGCAAACCTCCTCCTCACCTGCCGCGCCTCTCGCGCCGCCATTCTCCGCAACAACGCCTCTTTCCCATTCGCTCACAACAGAACTATCCTAAGGTCTCTCCCCCAAAAGGGGTATCCAGTGTTGTGCCCCGCAAAGTCCGTCGACTTGTCCCTCGACCTCCACCGAGATTTGGTGTCACTAACCTCGGCCAATGGCACCTGTGACGAAGTGAGGAGGATGCTCGATTTTACCGACGGTAACCACTTCATCTTTTCGGCGGCGAGGAAATTTGCGGTGAGGTATGGGTTAGGCTGGGAACTGCCGACTCCGGGCCCGTTTCAGCACGACAGGCGGTGTCCGACGGGGTGGATGGGGATGAGGGGAGGTGGGAGGCCGGGGTTTTGCTCGAGGTGTGTGGGGAGGTTGGTTGAGCGGTTCAGGAGGTTGGAGGAGGTTTGGGTTGTGGTTGATTTGCCTGAAAAGGGGTGGAAAAGGGTTGATGGCGGGTGGGGGAGGAAAAAGGAGTTTGAAGGGTGGGATAGGCGGTGGTTTGCTGTTGAGGGGGTGGGCGTTGTGGGGGAGGAGGGGAATGGTAATGGGGGGGTAGTGGAGGAGGGGTTGGAGGTGCTGGAGAGGGTGAAGAGTAATTTGGTGAGTTCTTTTTGGAGATATAGGTTTGAGATGGAGAGGGAAGTGGTGCTGATGAGATGACAGAAAGATCCGAGGTATTATCATACGCCGTGGGTGAGCGAGTTGAAGTTTGGGTTGTTGGGGTGGGAGAAGTCAACATGATGAATGGTTGAAGAGAACTACAAAAGGTTACATGGCCATGCGATAAGAGTGTGTTGGTTGCAGTGGACTATGATCCGCATTGCACAAGGTGTTGGACATCATATGAATATCTTGAGCAAGGAAGACACCCGGGTAACAGGACACATGGATTGGATATCGATCATGTCTTTTGGCTAAAGTGGTAGGTTCAGTGCGATGAAGCTTGGACACCCATGCTTGCAGATCTTGGAGAAAACTGTGTCGAGAGTAGGTAGTGTATATTTCAGTACGGAGCGGCATACATAGACAGTACAAGCATACTCAAGTGATAGTGATTATAAAGGACATGCATGAGAGTGAGCTACCAGCGTTGTTTAGACAAGTGACAAAAGATCAGATGACTGACCGAGATGGGATGACAGGCCTCATGGTTTATGAAGATAAGATAGGCAAAGGCTCGTCGGCGCGGCACTCCGACAATTCCACCAACTTCACGATGGCATTGCTGGAGTTGACAATGTTGGAGGCTCCCATGACGTCTCGGGCCTGTCTCACAACCTAGGGGCAGCTTGTTTGATCAGACCCGATCGGCTCTAGCGCATCGCCTGAGTGGCTGACAGGGGTTGGGGGGGGTCAGATCGCCAGGGCGGAACCGTAGCGAGCACCATCCGAACCGAGTTCTAGAAGCTTAGCGCTCCAACCGCCTGAACCTCCAGGTGTCTTTGCCCCCACTCGCTGTGCCATTGAAGCTCGAAAATCATGAGGAGCGCAGGATGAATGGCATCACAAAGGAAGCCTGTAATCTAGAATTCCATGCTTTGCACCCAAGGCAAGACAATTTCAAGCATCGTCAGAAGACAAGCCAGATCTGACGACGGGACCAGGCACCCAGGCAAAGGCCACTGGGACCCGATGAGCGGGCAGGCACCTTTGATGCCCCTTGTCGCCGTCACGGGCACTCTGATCCACGCGCGCCACGGTCTCGACCCAAAGCCACCTCCACAGTTGATTGTTCTACCTGAACCTCGCTCGAACTTGGTCAAAGCAAAGCCCTGATCAGAGATGATGACGGTGCACATTGCCATCGGCTATATCTCGTTGTACACTTGTCATTCCACCTGCCTCGCCGGCCAGCCGGGTTGTCAAGGCTCGTTTCGAGCATCATTTGCGAATCACAACGGTCAAGCAGCGCACCAACCACCGCCAAAATGAAACTGGTGCGACGTCAACAGCGATCCACTCCGACGACAAGGAAACACGCTCCACCACGGGACAGCACCTCCTGAAGGAAGAGACAGGAAGCAATTGAAACTTTTTCCTCAGGTATCTCGTCACCCGTGTTCTCGATAGCAAGCGCCCGGGAAGCACCAAGGCCGACGGAGATGGCCATCTCGGGTGACCACCTCACCCACCCTACCTTAACCATCATCCAGCTCGGTGAACAACTCTGTTATACAACCAAATGACAAAGAAAAGACGACAGGAACAAATACGGTGAGGCTCGAAACGACATCAACTGTGGAGCGGCCCAGATTCTACCACCACCCTTAAATCCTAATCCTCACCTCGGATCCCGTGAATCCTGACCCCCAACGCCCGACTTCAGACGCCCAGGCAGGGGGGCACGGTACCTGCCGGGGATCTGAGCAACGGTGTGACCTGGCCGCCGGGGCCCCCAGAGCCAAGGAGGCTCAAGGAGGCTCTTGGCTCGGCGCAGGGGTGCGCTCACTGAACCTCAACCGCCGTCCTGCGACACAAGCGACGTCGACGTCCCCTTCGAGATGGAGCACGGCTCGACCATCCCATTTTGGGCCTTGTCGTTGCCATCCAAGTGCCAGTATGATCGCCATTAGGGGGCGCCTTTCACTCTCCTTTCCCTGGGCCCTGGGCCCTGGCTGCTTGGGTGTCATCCCGTCTCTGGAGGATTGTTCTATATAACCTCAAGTTTCCCATCCCTCTTGTCTCTTTTCTTTCCTTCCTCATTCCATTCAGCAAGTTCATCGCTCTCTTTTCTTGTTTTCTTCAGTCTTTTCAGTTCTGTGAACTCTTCGTTTCGTTCCGCTCTTTCGGCATTTACACATTCTTTACAACCGCTCGGCCGGTCCTTTACTTCTCCGCTACACCATCCCTACAAAAACAAGTTTTAGTGCGATAACTTCTGTTTGTCATCACCATGTATTCCAAGGCTGCTATCGTCGCCCTCATGCTGGCCGTTGTCGAGGCCCGTTTCGGTCAAGAGGGTGCCGTCCAGGGCGCCGTCCAGGCTCTCGGTGCCTTTGGCAACCCCGGTGCTGCCGGCACCTTGGCCGGTCAGACCCCCAGCGTTCTCCTCGCCGGAGCCAACGCCTGCGCGAAGCTCCAACTTGCCGACCAGATCGTCCAGGAGCTCGGCACTGACGATGCCGTCATCGCTGCCGCCAAGCTCCTCGTCCAGGCCGAGAAGAACTTCAACCCCTTCGCCGTCTCCATCCCCAGCATCTGCTCTGATGCCGGTCTCCCCGCCACCGAGGCCCTCCGTGGCATCATTCCTCTGGTCGACCCCGATGTTCCCGGCGCCGCTGAGCAGAACGCCCGCTCTGCCCAGTCCCTGAACAACCCCTTCAACGCCAACGGCCTGTCTGTTGCCGACATCACCGCCGCCCAGGGCTTCACTGACTTTACTGCTCAGAGCCTTGGTGGTGCCAACGCTGCTCCCCCTGCCGGTGGCAACAACAACAACAACAACAACAACAACAACAACAACAACAATAACAACAATAACAACAACGGCGGCAACGTCAACTGTGGAGCTCCGCGCACCCTCACCACCGTGATCGTGGCCGCTCCCACCGCCACTCCCGCCCCCGCTGCCGGCAACGGTAACAACAACAACAACAACAACAACAACAACGGTGGCAGCAACGGTGGCAACAACGCCGCCCTCGACTTCGGCTCCTGCGTGCCCACCATGAACTTCCTCGGCGGGCGCGGCAACCGGCCCGCGACCGAGTTCACCTTCAACGCCATCGACCCTGTCATCCTCTCGCGCCAGGGCGAGGCCCTCAACCCCAACATCATCACCAACCGCATCTGCGACGAGCTCACCAACATCTGCGGTGCCAACCAGGCGGCCAAGGACGCCTGCCTGGACGCCAAGGCCCAGATCCAGGCTCTCGGGACCAGGGACGCTTCCACCGCTGTTGCGTGGAACACTCTTTTGGGGTTCCCTGATGTGAACGTTAATGTTTAAGGGACCAAGGATAGGAGGTGTTGTTTCTTCTTGTTGTGAGATATGATGATATGATTCATTTCTTTACCGTTGTTTTTTTGTTTCTTTTTTTTTGTTGTTGTTGTTGTTGTTGTTGGAGTTTTTTCCGGGGGGGGGGGATGGAAGGAAGGAAGGGGTAATGATAGTAGCTAGTT